TTCCTAGCCTAACATATTACTTGAAAAACCAAAAAGAAAATCTCTTTGCACTTTCTATGTTAGGGAGGTCGGTCGTGGTGTGAAGTGGAGAATAATCAAATGTGTAACACAAACCAGATATTGCATTACAGCTGACTTATATATTTAGGTCACTATGTATAAGCATGAATACATTTTTCCCTGCATGTAGTTATTGCAGTTCAAAAACTAATTGTGATATAGTCCAAGAAAGCCATTTTGTAGGTAGCATTTATTTTTTGCTATAATATTATTTTTTAAGTAAGCTCCATACCCAATGTGGGGCTGGATCTCAGGACCCTAAGATCAAGAGTTGCATGCTCTACTGACTGAGCCAGCCAGGTGCCCTCATGAGTAGCATTTTTAAAGAATATACTCAAGTAATTCTACATACAGTTTACAGACAAAATTCTATTGGGTTAAGAACAGACATTAAAACAAGTTAATTTGGGATCTATGTAGTTCAAGGTTTCATGCATATTATTTAATTAACACATACCATAATTCTCTATGTTATAAGACATTGTGAAAAATACAGAGGATATGAGATTGTCCTGGCTCAAATAATCACAGAATCTTCTATTTTATCTTGATGTAGATGAATTTCTTCTTATATTAACTCTTTGGAATGCTGTGAAAATGTGGACTACTACATAGTTCTATTATTTTCTTTTTTTTAATTTTTTTTGTTTTATTTATTTATGATAGGCACACAGTGAGAGAGAGAGAGGCGGAGACACAGGCAGAGGGAGAAGCAGGCTCCATGCACCGGGAGCCCGACGTGGGATTCGATCCCGGGTCTCCAGGATCGCGCCCTGGGCCAAAGGCAGGCGCCAAACCGCTGCGCCACCCAGGGATCCCTATTATTTTCAAATTATTATTTTGATTAACGTGATATATAAATAATAAAATATGTAAAATTTCTGAGTAAAAAAAATAAAAACCTGGATAATTCATTACAAGTGCATGCAGTAGATCTACTAAGTAAATATTTGTAGTCTCTGTCAGGGTGCTATAGTTGTTAGTTCACATGGAGAACTGTCCTCAGAAAACTAATTTAAATTTAAAAAAATTCTGCCACACTTAAAATGGAAAAAAAAATAGCATTTCCACAAACATTAGTCTAGACACTTATTTAGAAAGAGAATTTTGGGTCCCTGTACCTTTCAAGTGATATAATGGAGAAATGAAGCAGAAAATGTACTGTACATTTATTAGGCAGTTCTTTACAAATGTTCGATGGACTATGGACAATGGCCAAGAATACTTGTTTTAAACAAGGGGTCTATTAGTAGACTTGATGTAAAAATAGTTGTCAATTAGGACACCTGGGTGGCTCAGTGGTTGAGCTTCTGCCTTTGGCTCAGGTCCTGATCCTGGGGTCCTGGGATCAAGTCCAGCATTGGGCTCCCTGCATGGAGTCTGCTTCTTCCTCTGCCTATGTCTGTCTTTCTCTCTGTGTCTCTCATGAATAAATAAATAAATACATATTAAAAAAAGATGGTTCTCAATTAAAAAAAAACCTGCTAGTTATGGTAAAGAAATTTCAAAGTATATTGTAATTTTTCCCCAACGTTTCTTAACAATTAAAATCTGAAATTGTATATCTTCTTATAAATCACAAATTATGTACTAAAGGACAAATAATTGATAATTTATAATTTCCCACCAAATTCCTTTAGAGCTACTTACATTTCCTATATTCTCTGCTTTTATATAAGAAATAATAATTATAAAAATCATAGTCATGAAGAATAGTAGTAACAAATGAAATTGATTCCTCAATGGTAGTAATTGTAACAAATTTTTCTTCTTATGTTTGAAAGTCTCTATGAAGCTATCATAAAGCATCTCTTTAAAGGTAGGTTAATAATAGCTAAAAACTCTGTTACAGTTCCAACCTATGCTTTATTTACAGATTCTGGGCTTCAGAAGGACTGTCCATGTATTAGTTGTGAAAAACATTAAAATTATCAATATTTAGTTTTAATAAATACTCTTCCTGAATGATGCTTTACCCATCTGTTTTTTTTTAAATAAGGGATATAGGTTTTTCTGAAATTAATATCCAGTGCACTTGCCTTGATCTCACATGTCATCTGACTCCTCAGTAACACTAAATCTTAGATTCAGTTATTGAAAAACTATTAATAGTTTATTTTCACTTAATTAAAGTTAATAATTGCTCACAACACACACCCATAGATTTTACAGAAGTGTGAAGTGCGGGAAACGAAATGAGAGAGGGGAGGACGATATCTGTTTCATATAATAGAAACATAATTATTCATAAAAGGAATTTCTGTGGACTCTTTCTGCACAAAGAATATGGAAAGTGTAATCATCCAGAACCATGTGTCTATATAAGTAAAAAATGGGCATTAGCGAAATTATAGCCAGGCCATAATTAGCTTAACATTGGTAAAATGTATTTGGGTGTTGTGAAAGGAAAAAAAAAAAGAATTGATAAGTGTCTTGTTACATAGAAAGATTTAGATCACCTGCATCTCTTCACCAGGAAATCCAACTGTTACTTGGGGGAGAAATAGAAATTGTGGGTCTGAATAACCTGATTTGCTCAAATTTATAGGAATAAACTATAATCATTCTTATGTCTTTGAGAAAATAAAGCAGTTTTTGTAAACTTTAATTTGGTCTATAAACAGTGAATTTTTAAGATTAAAGGATAACATAAAGCAATATATCAGTATTCAAAATATCTAGATAACAAAATGATATTGATTACTTCTGGCTTAATCCAATTTTCCAAACACACTCTTTCTGTAGTGCAGTATCTCTCTCTCTCTCTCTCCACTAATACATCTGCAAGTTTATGAAATTAGTCTTTGAACAAGATTACTTTTAAAATAAGTAAGTTTAATAAACCCATGAAAAATTTGAAGAGCAGATGTGTTATCATTTCTTTAGTAAAAAATATAAACGTGGGATTTACACTTTACAAATCAATTGCACATATGAGGTTTGACTTGCTTAACATAACCAATAAAGTCAGTGTTTTATTATCATTTTTCAGATAAGGAAATGGGCCAACAATATAGAGAGATTTTTTTTTTCCCAAAAGCAATTGCAAAACAGGTCAAACAGCAAACAAATGACAGAACTTTAATCAAAATTGAGTTAATGTGAATCCAAATACTATGCCACTTACTCCTAAAGTTCTTTTTCTCTTTAAAGTTTGCATTTAATAAGAAACCAGAATTTATCATATCATATATAGTCCTATTGGCATAAGATAGTTATGGCAATAAAATATGCTTCTAGGATTCTGTTTCATGAGCTAATGTTTTGGGAAATTAATGGCATAAACACATTTTTTCTTTATTTTTTTCATACTCTTTCTAGAGATAAATTGTAAGTTATACATGTGATATAATTTGTGAATGAGCAGAGTGAATTATCCATTTTGTTGTATTTTGGACTTCCCCGTGACACGAAGTAAATTACTTATCTGTCATTTTAGTTACATTTATTCATAATGCCCATATTTTTCTTGTTGAAAGAGGAATCTAAATTGCATTTCCAGGAGCTATGAACTTGAATTTATTCTCTCAACAAGTGAGCGCTCTTCCAGGCACCAGAGACACAGTGGGAATACAAATACTGTCTCTGCCCTCAAGAAACTTAGTGTCTAGTGGAGAGAGACAGAAATAAATGTATGTTGGGGGTGATCTGCTATAAAGAAAGAAGGCAGGTCAGGAAAATAAGGGGGATGGGAGGGGTGGAGTTTGATTGAGAAATCTGTAGTAATAGAGCATGGTGGATGAACTGTAAGGAAAGTGAGGTGTGAGACCAGTGGTTACCTAGGAGCACATTCAGCTCAGAGGTAACACCATATGTAAAGTCCTTAAAATACAGCATTTGTTGGCAAATGCAAAATGGGACCATTGTGGAGGTCAGTGCTCTTAGAAGACAGTGAGAAAACTGGAATGGTATTACATTAGATCAGAGAAGTTGTTGGAGACCAGACTTGTCAGGTCTTTTCTAGGATATTTTCTAAGTGTTTAGTGTTATAGTGGGTAAACAATGCCTCTTCCCCCTCAAAATATCAAGGCCCTAATTACTAGAACCTATGGAGGTCCAGTTGTCTATCCTGGTTCCCAATTCCACTACTGTTAGAGTTGTGTACGTGGGCAAGTTCTTTAACTCCTCATTGTTCTCATTGATCAAATGTACATAATAAAATTACCTGAGTCATATAATTCAAAGAGTAATCTGGAAAAATTTGTGCATATAGTAAGGCAGGATAAATGTTAGCTATTATTACGTGGCCACTATTATCCAATCAGTATTTATTTTCTGAGTACCTGTCTATGGAACTTTGCTGGTGATATGGTGAGAGTTGCAATTCTTTAAGGCAGTGCTCTTCCATTTACTACTGTACACGGGACTCTTGTTGGTAAAAATGAAAAATTCATACAAATAATTGCCTAATAAAGCTGTCAAAAACAGTCACCAAATAACAAAATTTCTTAGGAATGGAGAACTTGACCTTGAAGGATGGTAAAATTTTAGACATGTGGATAATGGAAAATGCATTCTGGGTAGAAAGAACATAACGAACAAAGGCTTGGAAGTAGAACATATCTTTTGATGAGAGTGGAATATTTTAGAATGTTATTTCTTTTCCAAATGTGGAATATCAATTTTGAAGTTATGATACTCCAGATTTATCTTGAGATCAGATGTTTAACTGATTGAAAGGACACCAGATGGGGCTCAGAAAATATTCCTCCATTAGCCACATCTGTGACCCTGGGAAAGTACCTCCATGCTGTATCCTTAAGTTACTTTGAGAAGCTGAAGAAGGAAGATAAAGTAATTAACCTATTCTGCTTTATTCTTCTATCAATAAATAAAGGAATTTAAATGGCCCACCATTTATTAAAATTTGTATCATCCTTGATGAATATCTTTCCTTTCTTTTCTTTTTTTCTCTCTCTTTTTTCTAACCATTTAATGGTCAGGTGGGAGCACAAACACAGTCCCCTACTACAACAAATTGTGCTGTCAGGTTTCCTACATTTGGGGAAATCACAGGGGCAGCACACCCGGAGTGCAATGGAAAAGCCTCACCCGGGGAAAACCACCTTCATAATCATTGCGTCTCCCCTTCCAGGTATGTTCCTTTCTTTTTAAAAAATTTTACTGATAATATTATATTATTTCCCAAATATATCTAAGAAAAATATATGTTTCATGTAAAGATTTTAAAGATGTATTTGTGTCATATAAGTATATACATGGAATATGTTTTATATATAAAGAGTTGATATCTAAATATTTGTACATGGTTATAGTTAAATATAGCTATGTATACATATATGCAAATATATACATATACAAATATGCACACACACACACAACCCTATTTAAACTCTCAATAGCTGTTTTCATAGAAATTGCCAAGCTGATTACAAAATTGTAGGGAAATGAGGCAATAATCTAGAATTTGCCAAAATTACCTAAAAAGTAAAGACAATAGTTGGAGTATTCACACTAGCTGATTTCACAATATGCTATAAAATTACAGTATTCAAGATAATATGTCATTGGCATAATCACAGACAAATAGTTCACTGAAAAAGAATAGAGTGTCCAGAAATAGATTCACACATGTATATAAGTACTAAGGAAATGGAATGAGAGAAATAAAAGGGTTTTTTTCCGACAAGTTATACTGGAACAAGTGGATAATTATATGGGAAAAAATTTCCAACCCTTATGTAGCAAAATACATGAAAATCAACTTAAGATTTTTCACAGATCTAAAGATTAAAAAATTCTGTAAAGCATCTAGAAATAAAAGAATAACAGGAGAATATTTATTCTACCTTATGATAGGAAAAGATGACTTACAGAGAATTCAAAAAGAATTAATCTTAAAAAATCAGACTTCATCAAAATGGAAAACTTCAGCTCATTAAAAATCACTGTAAGAAAATGAAAAGAAAGTTACATATGGAAAAGAGTATTATGATACACGTGTGTGGTGATTTCTGTTGGGAAAATACAAGGAAATCTTACAGTTGAAAAATAAAAAGATAAATTTAATTCTAAAAAATGTGCAAAACTCATAAACTTGAGCACAAAGTTTATCAAGAGAGACATGAATGTCAAGTAAGAAAATAAATAGTAAATACCTTTATTCGTCAGGGAAATAAAAATTAAAACTATAATGAGATACCGTTCTACACCCTCTAGAATTTTAAAGATTAAAGATGCAAGACAATTTTAAAGAGTGAAATAATCAAGTATTAAGAAAGATGAGGAACAAATGACATGTTCATATAATTCTGAAAAGAATATGAATTCATACAAAATTCTGGAAAACTCCTTGGAATTTTCTTACAAAGTTAAAATACACTTAATCTATGTCCCAGTAACTCCACTCCACTCCACTCCACTGTACTTACTGAACAGATGTCATAATTTAAGTCCAAAACAGACTGCTTATGTATATTCATAGCAGCTCTACTGAAACTGCCAAAACCCAGAAATAACTCAAATGCCCATCTTTAGGACAAGTGATAAACAAACTGTAGTATATTCACACAACGGGACACTAATTAACAATAAAAAATAAATCCGTGATTCATCATATAGCAATTCTTAAAAACTATTCTCAAAAGTATTATGTTAATTGGAGAATCCAAACACCAAATTTCTTTCATATGAACTCAAAATAAGCGAAACTAATCTATGGAGATACACATGTAAAAAGTGATTAACCATCATGGGCCTAGCACAGTGACCTCTTTGGGTGAATGGAAACATACTTGTCTTGATGGGGATATTGGTCAGATAGGTATGCACATTTGTCAAAAATATTTGAATTGTATCTGTACAATTCTCTCTAAATTTTGCTTCAATCAAAAACATCTGTAAAATAACTTCCTCTATTGAAAGGCCAATAATAGCCAGTAATTCTTTACTATGTTCATTGTTTAAATGACCTGTTTGCTAAGCTTTTGCTAACCTGTTGGTTTTTCTTGACTAGAGATTAGCTATATTTTTACATAATTCTATACAGCATTATGAGCATGTTTTTACTTTTTACTGTGAATGCAAATAATTTTAAATTTACAGTAAAAATGAAATAAATCTTTGCCTAATTGCAATCAACTTGTTTCATCTAAGCATAGATATCAGAGATGCATCATAAAGTCAAGTAGTTCTAAAGAAACTGTGCTTTGAAATAGTAGTAACTTTATATTTAAAAAATTGAAAACTATTTCTTAGTTCAATATGATTTTCTAGAATATATGGGAATATTTAAGCAGAAGGCTATTATTTATCACATGTAATGCCTTCTGAACAGCTGAACATCCCAGGCTACATAGTCACATTTAGCGTATTTTCTATTTCTGTAATAAGATCACCGCTTTTCATTTTCCTTTGATATAGTAACATTGTATTCATAAAATTGCAAATGCTTGCAAAACTGTAGGGGAATGAGGAAATAATCTAGAATTGTCAAACCTACCTAGAAAATAGGACAATAGTTGGAGTTCTCATGCTAGCTGATTTCATTGGCATACTCTAAAACATACATTTCAACTATTGAATATGAAGATTTGTGTACATCCAAATAAAAAAAATGTATGTGTGTATACATATATACTCATATGTAAATATGCTTATCCATCATACCGCACAAACTCTCAATATATATATATATTATATATATATATTCTCTCTTATATATATATATATATTAAATGTCTATATTTGCATGTTAATATATATGTGCAAGGGTATGTGGCTTACCCTTACGAGATTGATATTGGTTCCAGATACCAGACATGGGAAGACTGTCTGACATTATACTGCTATTTATTATTTCCAGAGAGAGAAGCACTAAATCTTCTTGGAGCAAATTTTCTTTATTGTTGACAGAAATCAGCTGAGTGACAGTTTCTTAGTTATGGAAATATAAGTCTCCTAAGCACCGGCTTTCCAGCATCACCTTTTGTGTTTGGAGAAAGGCTGATCCTCCTGAAGAAACCTATATTTGCGAAGACAGCACAGGAGATTTATATATTGTACTTAGATTTATAAGACCAGCATTCAAGAGGGATGCTGTAGCAATGGTGAAAGTGATAGCACTAATAGACTGCTCCAAATCTTATTCTCTATCTTTTGTTAGGGAGCTGCAATGCCCTTTGATGAACTCTGACCCAGGCATTCTCTCCTAAACTCTCAATTCATTCCTCAAGCTATCTGAAGAATGTCTAATAAATATCTTGCTCAATATATCCTAAATTGAATCCTTGACCTTCCTTCTGCACATATTTTACTCACTGCCTTCCTGATCTCAGCTGTTGCCATTTCATCCCCCCAGCTGCTTAGATTTTGCTTATGTAAAATTCCCAGGAGTCAATTTTGAATCTTTTTCTTTCAAGCTCACCATCTAATCTATCAGGACAAATCCTATTGTCCATCCTCAGAGTATATCTAGTATCAGGCCACTTTATAACCACCCACGTTGTTCCAACTCTGGGCCAATGCATTGACATCTCTTGTCTGAATGATCTCTGAATGCAAGGGCAGCCTAGTCTCAAGGAACAGCCACTGATCTTTCAAAAGTTAAGGTATATTAAATGTCTGTTCAAAAATGTTCCATAGTTCCCTACTTAAGTCAGAGTAATAATCAAACTCCTTACAGAGGTGTATGCATCTCTACCTGACATGACCTCACTGACTTCTCCGACTGCAATGCTGAGCACTCTCTCTTACTCATTATGCTCAGAGACACTATCCCAAAGGTCAGGGATATTCCTATCTTAGGGCATTTGTTCAAGCTCTTTCCAATCTCTGGACTGCTCTATGCCAAGAGCTTCTTGCTAAATTTGTCATCTTCTTCAGGTTTGGGAGGTGATGCCATTTTCTCTTTAGTTTCTACTCTGATCAGTTTATTTAACCTGCAGCATCTTCTTTTGTGTACCCAATTCTAATTGTCCTAACCCTGCTGTACTTTTATTTTTTTATGTACCACTTAATACCATCTAACCTACCATATTTAATGTATTTTTTCATTATGTCAACTTTATTTAATTTAAGATAAATTAAATATAACAGTGTGCAAATTTAACTTGTATATGTTACTTTGATATATTTAAATATTGTAATATGATTCCCATTGTAGCGATGTTTATCACATTACATAATTACAGTACAATACTGTCTATATTCATTATGTTGTGTATTAAATATCTATGGCTTATTTACTACTCATTGCAAGTTTGTACCATTAAACAACATGTCTTATCCCCTCAACCTCATCCCCTGACAAACACCATTTTACAATCTAGTTTTTGCAATTTGACTTTTTTAGGTTGCATATATAAGTGATAGCATGCAGTATTTGTCTTTCTATGTGTGACTTATCTCACTTAGCATAACATACTCAAGGTTCATCCATATTGTCACAAAAAGCAAGATATCATCCTGTCTCATAGCTGAATAATATTCCATTCATCTATTAGTAGGCATTAAGGTTATATCTCTATCTTGGTTATTGTGAAAAATAAAAAAAAAACACATGGGAGTGCATAAATCTTCTCAAAATCTTGTTTTCATGTCCTTTGGGTATAAACCCAAAAGGAGAATTACTGGATCATTTGGTAAATCTATTTTTAAAGGAATTTTGACAAAACTCCAAATTGTTTTCCATAGTGGTGGGACCAGTTCACATTTACACCAATGGTATGTAAGTTTACTTTTCACCACAACCTCAACAGCTATTATCTCTCATCTTCTACATGACAGCCATTCTAACAGGTGTGAAGTGATATCTCCTTGTGATTTTGATTTGTATTTCCCTGATGACAGGTGATGTCAAATATCTTTACGTGTGCCTGTTGGCCAAATGTTAGTTGGGCAGGACTTTGTGTTACTCCCTAATGCATCCCAAATACCTGCACATTACCTAACATAGTAGGCACTAAACAGATACCTGTTGAATACATGAATGTATTGGAAAGCTTCTGAAATGCTCTGGCAATTTGAAAGAATAAACTGAGAAATATACCAGAATTGCTGACAATAAATCTATGTAAATATTACATTTAAAAATGAATTAAAATAAAGTGGCTATGATCTTATCTCAAGCGAGATCGTTCATA